AGCAGAGCTTTTATTATGCCACAGTCGACCGCTTCCGCTCCTTCCGGTCGTGAGTATGTGGGGTAAAGCAGCGCTGTTTTATCATAGTAGATACGTTTGAAAGTTCTGTTATAATGCTACTCTGTGCGGTCATCACTGGTCTATTAAAACGCACAACATATTAAAGCGTCTTTGGTGTTTCCATGTTTTCTAAAAAAAATCGAGGGGTTATGAAGTCATTAGCAGGCAACAACGCTCCGTGTCACTAGTTAAAATAGCTTATTTCTCTGGATTTAAACATTCTTCGAAACATTTGGGAGTCAGCAAGTCAGTAAAATATATAACACTGTTCTAGTGGTTTTTGGATATTTTAATAAAAAAATCGTACATATTGTGCCTTTAAGCGATTTTTTGCACTGACTTGCTATTCCTTTATCATTTATCTGATCTTTTGATTTGTGTCCATCAAGATGAGATGAAGTACTTTTTGAAGTACATTATAACAATGAAGTGCACTGAAGTACTTACAAGTAATTACATATTACATATTTAATTGTAAATGTTGTGTTATTAATCAATGTTATTAATTTTAAGTGTTTTTTAATAAAAATAGCCCTATGTATCAGGCGAATTAAGATATATATAATATTCAATTACGATATTTTACTTTAATTTTACAGTTTTTGATTTTACGGTCATTTCACCATTTTTTAAGGGATTTTTTTTTTTACAGTGTACATATATATATTATATAATATATTATATAGAGAATTTATATAAAGATTATTATTATAATTAACCATTTTTAGTTGAATTATTATTGAATTTATATTATTATGTACTGTATTGCGATATATGCATTTCCATTATGTCAAATGACTCATATCAGCACTAGTGAAGGCCTGTATTTCTGCAATAAACTGTGTTCTTACATAAGGTGACTGAGTTAGTTGGGTGACGTGTCACAGATTGTGGTTTTTCTACAGCCTTAATTCAATATCCGTCTAGTATTGACAATGCTCTGATGAGCTGGGCTTTAATTTCCTCTTGTTTTTAGTCAAGGGGACATGCAGTCACCAAGTCCCCAGCGTCCAGAGAGAGAGGACAGTCTTGTTCTTGACGTCCATGAGATTTAGTTTCCCTAGTTGAATGCCAGAGACCCGAGACGTGACCCTGAATCATCCCGACGAGAGCGAGGTTGGCAAAAGTCCTCTCAGGATCTGCCATGGTTTATCGATGAGGCCTGCGGCTGCTCGCCAGCTTCCCTGAGGGGTAATTGGTGGTCCGTGATTGTCCCGGTCCTACAATAACATAAAGCCAGAGATCAGATTCAAACAAGCACGTTATCAGTCAGCAGGGAGGCGAGCAGACAACAAACACACCGCGGGCCCACACAAACTGTGAGATTATCGTAAAAAAGCTGTTTAGTATTTTAAGCCACTTACCATTATTTGTTAGATGTCAGCAGGGTTTCAAATCAACACTCAGCCAGTGCCAAACACCAGAAAATAATAACTTTGGTTAATTTCACCTTTGTTTTATAGGTAACACTTACAATGGGGTTTCATTTGTTAACATAAACAAACAATGGCAATACTTTTACAGCATTCATTAATGTTCATTTCAACATAAACTAATGTATTTCTACAATTTTACAATTGCATATGTTAGCAATAGTTATAGGAATAGTTCACCCAATAATAATCATTATTAAAAATGTCATCACTCTTAGGCCATCCAAGATGTAGATGAGTTTGTTTCGTCATCAAATTTGGAGAAATGTTGCATTACATCACATGCTCAGTGAATGGGTGCCGTCAGAATGAGAGTCCAAACAGCTGATAAAAACATCACAATAATCCACAAGTAATCCACACCACTCCAGTCCATCAGTTAACATCTTGTGAAGTGAAAAGCTGCATGTTTAAAGAAAAAATCCATAATTAAAATGTTTTAACCAGCTAAAATGCGAGTCCATAATCCATAATAATGCTTCCTCCGGTGAAAAAGATGTCGTGTCTGAATTAGGAAAGAAATCTGCACAGATCAAGCACCGTTTACAAGCCAACAGTTCTAAACACTGTTTAGTGTTTGTCTGTTTAGTTGCTGTCTAATGTTTTTGGATTTTGATATGAGAGGACAACACAGGATGGACTTTTTAACTGGAGGAAGTGTTATTATGCACTGAAAAAAATTATTCATTGAATTTACTAAAATTTTTTAAGGTAGACTAAGTGTTTGCAATCAGTTTATTTTAGCTACATTTAAATAAATAAATTTAGTTGACTACAAGATGTTGCTAAAATAAATTGTTTGCAACCACTAACCTTTAAATTTTTTTTGTAAATTCAATTAATCATTTTTTTCAGTGTGGATTATGGATTCATATTTAACTCATAAATTCATAACGTCTTAATCTTGTTTTTTAGAAACACAGCTTTTCTCTTCTCGAGATGTTAACTGATGGACTGGAGTGGTGTGGATTACTTGTGGATTATTGTGATGTTTTTATCAGCTGTTTGGACTCTCATTCTGACGGCACCCATTCACTGCAGAGCATCCATTGCTGAGACACTGATGCAATGCTACATTTCTCCAAATCTTATGAAGAAACAAACTCATCTACATCTTGGATGATCTGAGGGTGAGCACATTTTCAGTAAATGTTCATTTTTGAGAGAACAATTCCTTGAATGCAGTGTGAACCAACATGAACAAGCAATGAACAATTGTACCTTTACAAATATTAACAAGATTGATAAATGCTGTAAAAAATAAATTGCTCATTGTTAGTTCATGTTAGCTATTGCATTAACTAATGTTATTACATAAGAGTACATTGAAGTTTAGGTGATGATTTTCTCAATATTTTAAATACATACTCATATATTAAAGTCAAATAGGGCCACGCTGTATCTTTTCAAATTCACTTTTGATGCCCGCAGCTCCTTTAGGTTGTTAGATCCAGCTATTCCAGTGACGGGGCTGTCATTATGAAATGGTATGATCTTTTTCCTCTTTTTGGAGAGCTGTAATAAGCTGTCGCTCTCTCAGGATTGAGCCCCTACAGAAATGAGTCGGAAAGCAATCTGGACATGTCACCTCAGACAGAGCCAATATTGATTCCTTACGGACTCGTGCACACGTCCATAGGACAAGGGCAATTTATTCACTATTTTAGAGAGATGCAGAAATTTCACATCTTTCTAAATAGCTGACCCACTTTTCTCCAGCTCGGATTTCTCTTTTTCGGCCTCATTCGGTCGTATTTTCATTTCATGTCACAGTGTTTTCTGCCACCACAAACTCTCAGGAGTCAATCTGGATTCATATTCATGCAGTCATTGCAAGTGTTTGAACTTTTTGTTTCATGCACCATAATATTTTTCAGCCTTTTCATGATGTTTGATGTATATCTTTATTTATGCATTCAAAATGTTTAAATGAAGAAATATAGAAATGGTCTAGTTAAAAATAATCAAGGCATGTTTTATACACTGTTTTTTATCTAATATAAACAAGGTATTTTGATATTTAATCATTTTCATTTATGTGCATGAATATAGTAACACTAAGTAATAAAAACAATATTTACCTATAATAAAATAAAATTAATAAAACATTTTATGATAATACAATTTTATAAACAGTTTTATAAACAAATTGGATCAGATTATTGAATATATTAAAACATTTAAACTGATTCACAGAAATGAATTTATCAATGGCATTTTTGTAAATTAGCTGTTATTTTAGAGATACTTTTATTAATATTTTGAATGTGTTTTTATTTTTCTTAAAGTTTTAGCAATTTTTTTGTGTGTTTTTTGTCATTTTTTGTATAGCAAAGTCATTGTAAATATATCATAAATATTAAGGTATATCAGTAAACATGGTATAGTTCATCTCTCCGGTGGACATAAACTGTTTGTGATGGTCTCTCGTTCTGTCTCTCTCTCCTTTCAGAACAACACGTGGGGTCAGCAGTATTCTTACGCTCTCTTCAAGGCCATGAGCCACATGCTGTGTATTGGATATGGCATGTACCCACCTGTCGGCATGACAGACGTGTGGCTGACCATCCTCAGCATGATCGTGGGTGCGACCTGCTACGCCATGTTTGTCGGCCACGCCACGGCGCTGATCCAGTCGCTGGACTCCTCGCGCAGGCAATATCAGGAAAAGGTGAGTGACGTCCAGTTGGTTAACATAATGAAGAAATGGCAGAAGCAGCAGGGAAAGCTTCCTGCGAAGGTGCTGCATTATGTGTTTGTCATCTGTTGTTGTGGTGACCAGACCGCAGGGACTCTTGTGTATCAAAACGATGCGTGAATTATGGGTGAAGTGTGTTATTCCGCGTCTGTTGTGGTGCAAAAATAAGGGCAAAAATAACTAGAATTTAATCATTTTAATGGTGATTACCCATGGTGTATACAAAAGTAAGTGGTTTCCAGGGCGTTGCTAGGTGGTTTGTTTGTAGTGACACCAAATGTAATTTATGAAGATAATGCTAGGGTGTTTTCTAGGGTTTTGCTGGGTGATTGCTATATAGTGACACAAACATGAATTGACAAAATAACTGGATTTAAAAATATTAATAGTGTCTGCCCATGCAGAAGTCACAACCGTGATATTAGGGCGTTGTGGGGGTTTCCAGGGTGTTGCTAGGTGGTTGCTAGGGTCTTGTGGGTTGTTTTACATTTACATTTAGTCATTTTGCAGACGCTTTTATCCAAAGTTGTTCTGTGAAAGAAACAATGATATCTGGTTGAAAACAACTCTTTTGAGGGTTTTCGCTATGAATGGAAGGAGAGAGACAGGTCTGTAGCTATCTGTAAGTGAAGTGTTTAATGTAGGTTTTTTGAGCAGTGGGGTTACCCGAGCCTGCCTGAATGCAGTGGGGAAGGTGCCTGTGAGGAGAGATGTGTTGATGATATGTGTGAGTGGTGGTAAAAGTGTAGGAGAGATTGCTTGGAGGAGGTGCGAGGGGATTGGATCTAGAGGGCATGTTGTAGGATGGCTGGAGAGGAGAAGTTTTGATACTTTTACAGGGTGTTGCTAGGTAGTAGCACCAGAGTGAATTATAGAAATAACTAGATTTTGCCTATGTTAATGGTGTTTGCCCATGCAAAATTTGCAACCATGATGCTAGGGTGTAGTGTGTGGTTTCCAGGGTGTTGCTAGGTGGTTACTATGTAGTGGCACCAAAGTGATTTGTAAAAATAACTAGATTTTTTAAAATGTTAATGGTGTTTGTCCATGCAAAAATCACTACAGGTACTACAGTACAACCCTTTCATTGTTTCGTAAGCATCACAGTGTTTCACTCTTCAGGAAGTCAAACTATCATTGACTGAATTACAGTGACACTGAACATTAAACTGACACACCAGAAACTGTCGGAACATCTAAACACACACCAAACACAGTAGCTCTTGATATCACAACAGAATATAGAATAAAAACTACAGGCTCAATTAGAGAATGAACCAGCCAAACTTTGAAACTGTGAGGGTAAAACAGGACATTCCTGAAGCTTGGAAGTAAGAAAATCTGTGAAGGAAGAAAGTCAATTATATAGAATTTGAGTGTGTGGAGAAAACACAGTCCAGCTGGATGACAGCGTGACACTTCTAAACTCATCTCAGCACACTAACATGATTACCACAGTTCCTGCCGGCTACTTTAATTCACAATAATGCACTTATAACGGCCCATAAACAACCGACTCGAGAGTGCAGATATTAATATTCACTCGCAGGGAGTTTTAGCTCTGATGATTGAAATTAAATTCAGAAGGGCTTTTTGAAACAACCCCAAGTATTAAACTTGAGGATGTGCGTCATCATGCAGCGTTTGTGCTCCAGACTTCAGAAAATGGAGTTGTTTTTGTAGTTGCACTTCTGTAGTTTCCTATCCAGTCTGGTATGAGTTATTGACCTCACCTCACTCGTGGTCAGCAGGCAGTATACGGTGTGCCAGGTCCTGACGACCTCAGTCCCTTCCCCGATGCCCACCTCAACATGGGCACATCGCCACATGGTGCACCATCTGTTGAGAGACTGAAGGATGGAAAAAGTGAGAATCATAGAGGAAGGAAGAAAGTCAATTATATAGAATTTGAGTGTGTGGAGAAAACACAGTCCAGCTGGATGACAGCGTGACACTTCTAAACTCATCTCAGCACACTAACATGATTACCACAGTTCCTGCCGGCTACTTTAATTCACAATAATGCACTTATAACGGCCCATAAACAACCGACTCGAGAGTGCAGATATTAATATTCACTCGCAGGGAGTTTTAGCTCTGATGATTGAAATTAAATTCAGAAGGGCTTTTTGAAACAACCCCAAGTATTAAACTTGAGGATGTGCGTCATCATGCAGCGTTTGTGCTCCAGACTTCAGAAAATGGAGTTGTTTTTGTAGTTGCACTTCTGTAGTTTCCTATCCAGTCTGGTATGAGTTATTGACCTCACCTCACTCGTGGTCAGCAGGCAGTATACGGTGTGCCAGGTGGGTCCCTCATGCCCACTGCATGGGCCGACCTCAGTCCCTTCCCCGATGCCCACCTCAACATGGGCACATCGCCACATGGTGCACCATCTGTTGAGAGACTGAGGGATGGAAAAAGTGAGAATCATAGAGATGGAGAACATGTAAAGAGGGAACGAGAAGATCAAAAGGAAGATGCAGGAGTTTTACAGACGCTCCAGATCGTCCGAGTCACAGATACAACAGATATAGCAGTAGCATAAGAAACTAGAAGAAAATGCCAATGGTTTTTGTCTATGCTTCATTCATTGCCAGGGTTTTATGGATGGTTACTAGGGCATATCTAAGTGGTTGCAAAGATCTGAGTGTAGTTGCTACTGTCTGTATCACAGTAGTAAAATGAAATTTCGGTGGAAATAGTGGAAACCAGTCATAAAATGGAATTTACTTTATAATGCAGATTTTTAAGGAAATTGGCAAAATTGTGATGAATAAATCAAAAGTAGGTCTGTACATTGTCTATAAATATTAAAGTGCAAAATGACTGCCACTGAAATATGAAGCCTGCATGTTCTGTGTGTCTCTGTGTGAATGATCAGCATCATTTCGTTTGATAAATGCTGTCGTCAGATATACAGGAACTCAAAGCTCTTCAATACAGCCCGCCAAAAATAAAAGTTCAGTTTAACTTGAAGAAATTGTGACAGAAATATATTATATTATACAGTATTATGTACTTTTTAAAGTGACAACAACAACAATAATAATACAGTATATTAAAACATTATTTTTAAGGAATAATGGTTTTAATTTAAACTCTAAGCCTCTATTGTGCAGTCTAACATTTTTTATTTAATTGTATTACATTTAAAAATAAAAATAAAACATATTTCATTGGGAACTATTATTGTTCAAATTTTAATAAATTATTACATTTTTAATTTGTTAATTTGACAAATTGTTTTATTGTCTATATACAGTATAATGTTGATTGATTGATGATTGTTAAAATTTAATTAAACCATTAAAATGGAAAACACAGAATGGGGGGGGGGGGGTTTGTAGTGTTTTTTGTTTGTTAGTTTGTAGTTTTTATCTTGCCATGTGAGGTGGTTGTGAGGGAATTACTGTGAAGTTGATGCAGTGGTTAGTTGGTTACTATGTGGTTGCTAGGTGTTTTCTTCCTGTTTGTTAAGAGTCCTTGCATCCTTGTGTTTATGTGATCTGTGATTGATGTGCGTCTGTGGGATTTTTTCACCTGTTTTATGGTCCAGCAGGTCAAAATGTATGCAATAATACATATGTGAGATAGTAATGGTAAAAAAACAGACAAAAGCACGTAAAGAGTGAGCTGGGGCACTCCTAGAGAGACAAAGCATTGAGAATTACATCAACTTATTGACTGTTTCAGGAAATTGTTTTTGTGTCATAAGGGTAAATACTGTAACTGAGGAGGTGACCAGTGATTTTGAAACCATAGCATGCTGCATTTATATATGAAATCATACATTTGAAGTAGGGGTGTCGCAATATACCAGTATTGAAAATCGTGATATTTAAAAACGAAAAAATGAAGAAAAAAAACATTTATTTCAAGATCGTTATATCATTATTGTGAACTCTTTTGGCCACGATAATCGTGTAGGGAAAATCACAGGAGACACACATGCGATTACTGGAGTCTTTTTTCTCAGGAGAAACATCTGAGAAGCAGAACACTTCAATAAAAGTCTCAATTTGCACTCCATTTCATCTCGGTTAATCTGAGACGTTAAACAGATCTGGTTTGTGATTTTTCTCCTCCTGGCAGGCACAAGCATGTGAGGAAGGCCAGTAAGTCATTCAGAGCGTTGCGTTTACACCTTGACTGGAATAAGAAAGCAGACGAGATGCATTTTCAACATCTCCAGGCGCTGAATGAATAAGGGCACTATGTATTTCTGCTGACTGTAATCTAAACACTGACACAAATACCTGTCTGGCACCACAGGGCAAACAGATCTCAAGCTATTTCTTTTAAAATCTCTCTCCTCCGATCCTGTTCTTATATTATAAATTCACCGGAGCGGTGGGAATTGAGCATTTGGCTTATGGTTCGGTTTGTCTGATACTTCATTGTGAATCTTTAATGCCTGCAGCTTATGTATTTATTGCAGGAGCGGCGCGGCACGGCTTATTCAAACCGTTTTGGGAGATTGTGAGATTTCTTGATTTGAAGATGATGTAAAATCACAGAGGGCAGAGAGAGATCTGTCAACACTTTAGTTAGTTCTTCTAGTCTAATGGCCTCTCCGGAATAGCCTGAGGGTTTGAGGGGGATGCACTAGTGCTGTTAAAGATTCAAGAAATTGATTATTTGTCATAAATGATTTGATCAATATCTGTGACTGGCAAATAAGCAATTTAAGTGCAAAAGCGGTCATGAATTATTACTCATAAATAAATTAAAAGTAAATTAAAATTGATACAGAACATGAATCATGGATGTGTTAAAATATAGCACACTGGAGATGTACAGTATGCCAAAACAAATCATTAATCAGTATTTTTGTCCTAAAACAAGAAAAAATATCTGCTAATTATTTTTTTCAGCATAAAGTTAATTTAGACTTTTGATCTATAATCTATACTGTATATATATCTATAATCAGCCTAATATACAGGCACATTTTGCTCTAAAATGACTTA